AAAAAAAAAACGATTGACTGATAAATTAATGCAAATTAACGACTGACTGGTTTCGTTTTTGTAAGGAAACTTTTTATTACCTATCTGCGATGGTTCCACCACTCTGAATTATTCTCTCATTCACACCTTTTCTGCAATCTTGAGTTTTCCATGAATTAAGAACTTTCAGTTAGTAATGGAAAACTAAGCACTATGTTGTCAAATCCATAGTCTTTATTAACTCTCTTTTGTTTCGACTTTTTAATATCTGTAGATTTTTTCATTATTTTGTACTGTTTGAGAAATATTTATTCATATAAAAAAACAATTTTGTTGATACTTGTAATTTTTATTACCTTACCCTCAAGTAATGATCGGAAGTGCAGTAGATTTTCATTGTCTGTTTTTTCATCGAAATCAAATGTGATATTTTTCGATTTTGCTTGAAGTAACATAACATAAAATGATTCTATAGGTGTATTATGTATACTCGATTTGACAGTTACACCAACATATCTCTGGGCATGTATTCCCATGGGAATATTAGGTAGATACGCTTGGGTAAAATTAGATTTGAATTTTTTTTCTTTTACTGCTTGGTGTATTGAGAAAAAATAAAAATTTGTCCCCATAAAATACGAGATTTTTTAGATAAGCAATCATAAAGCACATTTACGATGAATCAAGGATTTTTATACACGCACGTTGTCCAAGGGCATGATTTTGTGTACGTTACAAAAAATATTGATGAATAAAAAAAAAAAAAATTTTAAGAGTTATCACAGAAATGTTTAAAAGTTGGAATTTCTGCGTTCAATGAAGAAATTTTTTAACGGTTAAAGGTAAATTTTAGTAATTACTCGTGTAATTTTTGAATTATACACAAAATTCCATTTAGAGTCAGTACCAATATTTATAATTGTAATATTTTCCTTGGTATAATATAAGTTAAGGTCATTTGATGATGTGAAAAAGTGGTAAGATGGGTAATGTACATGTTCTTCTTTATTTTATTACAATTCATAGACGAGGTATGATGTTGAAACATTGTATACTGAAACATTTGTATAATCAATTTGCCAGTCGTTTCTCATATTGAAATTTCACTGTAGTTATCTATTTATCTTATATCATTAAGGTTTTTTAAAATGATGTTGAATAAAAATTTATATAATTATATAATTTACGCGTACACTGCCATAAATATCGTGATATAATTATTTAAAAAGATTGTGTCTAGCCAATACTATTTGTTTGCTTTATGATTTATTTAGTGAATTCGTCGTGTTCACAATATTAATAAAAATAATGCTTATAAAATAAAAATACCATATTCGACATTTGGGAAGAAATTTTCAATAAGTATCACAGATTATAATGAATGATAAAAAATATTAGTAACACTAAAATATCTGTTGGGTTTAAATTCAAAGGAAGTAAACATTAAAAAACTTATGCGTCATACACACATTAAGTTGTACAAGATTTTCACAGAAATCGGTTTCACATCAATTTAGTTACAACCTGTAATGCAATGTGTTTTTATTGTTTATTATTTTTTAAAATTTATGCTTACATCATAATAAATTGTATGGACCAAAAAAAAGAAATACATTGGTAAAATATACAACTCGCAATTCTTGAATATTTGGAATAATTTTTCAACTTGAAGGAGAAATAAAAACTTGTATTTGTTGATTGCAGTCGAAAATAATAGCATACCAAACAACAAAATTTGGAAAAAATTTAATTACTGATGGTTTCATCATTCGTGTTACTTAGCACACAACACAATTATTTGATTTCTTGTTTTCAATAGCTAAGAACAAAGTTATTACGAATTTCGTGCATGCTCAAATGTTAATGTATATATAGAATAAATTATTTAACAGTATACAAATTACTTAAATTCTTACTTAATTACTATCATGATTAAACTTCAAGATGGTAGTAAAAGCTTATGTTTAAGAAAAATAAACTTTATAAATTCGTCATCTTTTGCTGTTCATTTAAATTAATGCTGATGTTATTGCGGTCAAAAAAAGCGAAGCGCAATCATATATTTTTTAAGCGAAATTAAAAACTAAAAAAAAATTTACATACTGTACATGCATATTCGAATTATTTTATTTTGTTTCATTACCAGTTAGTGGAACAGTAGGGATTTTTTGAAATTCAATTTTTTTCCTTGATGAAGAAAAAAAAAGAAAAAAAAAAAAACAATGGTGCAGGACTACTCAAAAGTATTTAGATTACATCAGCAGCCCTGACTCTATTTGCTTTGTTTTACGTAACAACTAACACACGTGACAAAACGTAATGCTTAACATGCAATAGCGTTTAGTCGACTAGGAGATTTTTTTTTTTAATGTTAAATGTGCCTGTCCTTGCGTGACACGACGCTTTTTCAGCGATCATGTGGTATTTCTAGGACGCATGAGCTCGCGTTTCTTTGAAACTTGAAATTTTTTTAATTTAAAAGAGAGAAGTGAAAACATTTGGGAGATAGCAGAGTAGTGCGTTTGCACAACAACCCAAAGATCTCGTTCACCTGTTATCGCTAGCATCGGAGGGACTCTCCTCATGGCTATTGCTCGCAGATTGCGTGTCCACCTCAATTGGTAATTTTAATTGCTGCGGATCGTTGCTGTTGTCCGACATGCTCGCGTCGTCGCTCTGCAACAATGTGCGACTTGACGAAGAAGGACTGTTCTCCTCAACCAGTGGATTGGAAAAATTTGGCGAGTCCGCGCTCGACAGAGACTCGGGAGTGCCGACCGAGCCTGTACTGCTTGTAGCTATCGACGAGAACGGACTAAATCCAGTTTCCAATCCTCTGAAATCAAATGCAAACATTTTTCAGTTGTACATAAAATTAAACTGAGATCAAAACTTCATTTTACTCAATTACATAATAATAAGTCTTTTGGAACTGACATAAAAAAATAACCAATCAAATCAAATAACCGTAACAACTCCATTCATTTTACAAATTGTAATATGCATAGAAAAAAATCAATTTATGACAGAAGTACAATTTACTAAAATTTATCTGTTATGACTTACCTAAAAGGATTGACCAATAAGTTAAAGGTTCTTTTCATAGGAGGTTGTAAAAGACGATCCATTGCCGAGGAATCGTCGAATTCGAATTTTCTTTTCATTGCTATACTGGTTCCGCTTAGACAACTCGGACGAATTGATATAGGACTCAAGCTCCGCCTACAAAATCAAGTTACTTTACCTAGTGTAATTGAGTAGGCAAACAAAATAGCAGAGTATTTTGCTCATCAATAACACATCATTGACACGCACTAAAATTGTGATGTACGCACCTTGTGGCAAACGCCTTTCTTGTCGGGCTAGGAGACAGTGACCCATTTTTCCATGCAGCATGCAAACTCGGCGAGTAACACTGTCTCTGTCCGAACCCAGATCGCGTGGGCGAAGGCGAGGAGCATGACGACGTTCCACCAGTCGATACATTTAAATTCAGAGGATCGAAAATCTTTTTGGGATGGAACTGCTTGTCTGGCTTTAGTGGCAATGACATAGCACCCGTTGCTGGCAACGTATTTGATGGTGTCGATTCGGTAGACGAGTCTTTGAAAGACATATTGTCCGTGTCAAAGGTCAAATCCTCCCAGGACTGGGAGATTTGCATGGTACTGTGAATTTCTTTTTCGTGGGCCGCCTCTCGACCCGCTACTACATCGATGCATTCTTCCCGGCGCAGTTGATTTACTCTAGGAGTCAACCGGGGGCCCATTCCAACTGTACCACCTGGGCTCTAAAAGAAAGAAAAAAAAAAACGCCTTTCTGATTACACATAATGTAGATTATGTGAAAACTTCTGATAACACCTAGTTGTTCACTAAATCAAGTAGTGAGTGTCACAAGTGTGGAAAATTTATCTCTCAGTATACACACTTACTGCAATATCAGTAAGTATGTATTGAGCAAGATAAATCTACTTTTGCACAATCATGTAGTTCATTAACATGAAATAAAATATGATATTGAAACGGGGTACGGATATAAAAAAACTCATTTAAAATGGCACATAAGTTGTTATTGAAATATTATGGAGAGTTGAGAATAATAAAGGTCTGTGTATTCTGTGAGAATTTCGAGTTCCAACTGAAATAGAAAATCTTATTGGATGAAGAAAAAAACCCACACAATTCATGTGTCTACTCCCAATAAGCCCATGTCCAATGATCAATAATGGTATAAAGAAATGGGCACTTACACTGGTACTGAACCTCCTCACTCGTGGTAAACTTGAAAAAACACCAAAAGAAGCTACAGTATCCCTGAAAGATAGTACAACGTGAAAATTGATAAAATTTGCTTCATCGATGCATGTATGCTCAATGGAACTTCAAATAAAGCAAGTACCTTGGTGGGGCAGGAGTCGTTGGGGAAGATATCGACATGGTGGCACTGATTTCGTTGATCATTGGAGCACTGCTGGACCTCTTGAGACTAGCCTGTACAGGACAATCAACGCTCATGGTAGTCTCTCCGCTGGCCTGCTGCATGCTCTTTGCAGACATGTTGCTGCTGGCTTGTCACAACACCACCTGCTGCTACTACTGCTGCCACTGAACAACAGAGTCCCTCCGGTCGAGGACCCATCTACACGAATCTTGGTCCAACTGGTGCCACGTCGAAGCAGTTATACGTGATCCTCTCGGTAGAGACCTTGATTGTCTTAGGCGCGGCGGTTTCCAAACTCGTGGACGTTTACCCGTGCATCCTGAGGACTCCAGGACAAAGAACTCGGCAAAGTCAGACACGCGCACTAGGTGTACACCCAGCAGACGACACCCGGGACCTTGAAAAGCGAGGTGCAGAAACTGTTACAATGTTTTATGCAGCTGTATTATTAAGTGCGGTGTGTGGCGCAGCGCCGAGAATAATGGCTTCGACGTGTGGGCACCGCCGCGAGCACACCAGCGCCAGCTCCGAAAAGAATGCCAATTCACGATTAAATCAAGCTATAATGGGCAAAACGAATTGGTGCGCTTATTATCTAGAAGCTGAGCGAACTCCGATGTCGACATGAACGGCGATACTTACAGCGACGAGGGAAAAAGAAAGAAATTCCTCGAGAAGTCAATACTTAGCGAGAGAGGAAGAAGACGGATTCAGTTCAGCTCGGAGAGCATAGCAGCGGCTGATGTTCATGTATGGACTATGGAGTGGTTGGTGTGGTACTGTGGTGTAACTCTGTAACTTTATACCTATTCGTCCTATATATTTACACAAATGTATATATTATATGTACTGAACGATGCAAGAGAGACAGAGAGAGAGAGATGATGAAAGGTGTGAGTGAAAAGTGTGGAGAGAGAGGAGATGAAGCAGAAATTACAGAGCCAACGGCACTCAACGCGAGAGCCGGCTCTTGGGGATATTGGATGGATACTTATAAGTAATATATGGTACCTTTTGGAGAGCAGCCTTAGAGGCTTAGAGCAAGTATGGTACCCACTAGTGGTGAAACTGGTGGACTGCCTTTGATGATAATCTCTTATGATTATGTTCAACTCTCACCCTCTGCTCCGGGTCTATAACACAAATGACTGTTGGTTAAGTTGAGGTACTGGATGGTCGCTTTCCTCGTCTATTGACAGTCTCGTGGCCGTCAGCCTCATGTCTTTCTTGCAGACTTGGTTATCGACAACAGATGGACACTGCACCATTGTAAATGCTGGCATGATGGTGTAACTGCATCACCGACCGCGTGGCGGCATGATTCGCTCCCGCATGTGGCGAAAAAAGAGTCTGGTTAGTATATATAGACCAAATTGTGAGCGCTCGTTTAGAGATGTGTGCACACTGGCTCATGACGTAAGTCCACAGTCACCCACGTGGTCGGATTCGGTTTAAATAGTTTGCTACGTTGTAGTAACTCACCAATCCGTACCTACAGGTAAGTAAGGTAAGTAGGACGTGGTGAATGACTTGCTGGTGCGCACATATTTTTTGTTTTTATTTTTACATTTCTGTTAAAAACCAGTGTCCTGCTGTATTATTTGCGTTTTTCCGAACCAAATTCGTCTCTTTTTTTTTCATTTCTTCTTACAAAGGGTGAAAATTCTGAGAAATCAAGAAAAACATTCGTCCGCTCCTTTAACTTCATACAATTTTCCATTATTAATCAACTTACATACTGTAATCTGTCAAATTATTATAAAACTATTTTTTTCAGTTATAATTCGTAACAGCCTTTCATATATTTGCTCATTATTTTGTTTTCTCTTGAAAAATCCTTTTGTGTCCAACATATTCTTTTTTTGTATACGTCCTAAAAAAACGGCTACTGAATATATAATCGTAATGATTTAAGGACGTTCGGTAGTGATTGAATTTTCCAACGAATTTTTCTGAAATTTTGACCAGACGTTTTTATTGTTGTTACAATAAACCAGTCAAAATTTAAAGAGGTTCCTCTGTTTCGTTTTCGAGATATTGAATTTCAAAGTTAAGTCATTTTAACACTGTCGCTTATGGGAGAACTGACTAAATCACAGTTTTAAGCAAATTGGGCCAGTGAATTTGGCCAATTTTTTTATATGTTACAGATAATGTTATTAATTTGATGTATACCAAGTTTTGCGACGATCGTCTGATTCGTTTATAAATAAAAAATTAAATAAAAGCTCGACCGAAACGCAACGGCAACGTCGCAAGTGGCGGGAAATTCAAAATGTTCCAGGATGTTGATCAGTAAATATCTCAATATTATTGTAGATATTTATGCATTCACGCATAAAATACAAGCTTACGTGTGTGCGTGAGTGTATGTACAGAACGCCCACCCCTTCCCATAAAAAACAATAAATGTTAATAACACGCTATTTATTTTTTTTTTTTAATTTCAAATTTATTATTTCTTCTTAAGATACAATTTTTTTGCACATTACAAAATCACATGCTCATAGTTTGAATCACTCATCTTAGAAATCATCCTACTTATCTGACATCCCATGCTGTATGAGACTTGTCAAGTCATTTAAAAATTCAAGTATTTTATTTACACTGGTAGCTCTTTTGATTAAAGGGCTTTGCCCATTTATTAGAGACGATCTTAAACCATCATTACCTTCCATAAATTTATCAACAATAATATTAAAATCTACTTTATTTTGACTAATTACTCATTTATTCATTTTCACTACACTTTTATAATAAATCAGTAACAAATACTTACAGCTTTATCACAAAAACATTGATACACGAACGCTGTCGTAACCGACGCAGCACGCAGCAGACGAGCAGACAGTGTAGAGTGTGCAGAGACACCTGATGCGTGTACATGAACACTCACACATTTAAGACCCGTACGACGTTGCCAAATCTTCATTCATCGCTGGTTTCCCCTCACCGCGCAAATGTTTCCCCCCGCTAACACTACCGAACGTCCTTAATATGCCTTTAATTTTAATCAGATGAGATTTTTAATAAAGTCTTAGAATTTCATACTTTTGAATTATTTTTTTTACGTACACAAAGTAATAACACCAATAAACTAATTTCCAAAAAAAACTGAGAGAACAATTTTATTTGAAAAAAAAGTTTATATTATTATGCAGCATAAAACTTTTAACTTCAATTATTATTAATTGAACCATAACATCATAAAATATTAACACATGTCATGTACTAATATCAAATTATATGGTTACTGTCACTTTTCAATTTATTAATTTTTTTCTGTTCAAATCTTGTAACTTATTCCACAATGTAAATTTTCTCATCAATTTAAATGTATATCCATTCTTTAGTTTTTCGTCTTGACATAAAAAACACGTGTAGTATCATCACATAATAATTATATTTTAACAAACAAGTACATACATTAGGCTCTTAACCATCACATGTTGCGCTTATTATTCGATATTTCATAAATCTTACTAGCGCGTTTTTAACGTGAAAACAACGATTTCCGTGAAAAAAATTATAAAGAAATAAACAGACATTATATATTTACTAGACATGATACTGAACTCTGATCGTGGCTTTCGATATCTCGCAAAAGTAAGTATTTTTTAAATAATCTTACGACTACGCATGTGCTCAACTATTATTTTATAAAAATTATCGAAGCTAGTAGACCTTATTGCCTTGTTCCAGTAGCGTATAACTGAAAATTTGTGCCCTCAGGTTCCATTATTACTTTGAAATTTTTTCACACAAAATTTTTTTTTTTTCCTATGTTGGGTAATTTTATTTTACTTCATTATTATTTTGAAAAAATTTAATTTAGCTTTGGACGTTCATCGCGCCTTCAGTAAGAAAAATCAAGATCATACTTTGTGTGCATCCAGCAAGGGCAAACACAAAGATTACTTTGGGTCTGGTACTTGATCTGATTACCTGGAGACATTCGCCTCGCGGACCCCGGACCGGACCAGGTGTCCAGTCCAGCCTGTCCAGGTGCGAAAACTAAAACTATTGATTCACCGATTCACCCTTTACGTAGTTCCTGTTGCGATCCACGAGATGGCACTGTCTGTGCTAGAAAATGCGAGGATTATGTTTCAAAAATTATATTTTATTTTTATTCCACTGTTGAATTTTTTATTGTGTCTTCTTTTCTTAACATTTTTTCCGAGAGAATTTTGTTTCTCAAAATTAACCAAACAACTCTAAGCAAGAAATGAATGTTAACATAATGAAATACGTTTAGGAGGTACTCTAAGCTGAGCAATCTGAGCAACCCCAAATCAATTTAAATTAGGAAAAATTTTACAGAAAAAATTTTCTAAAATCAATGCAATCAAAATAAAAACAAATCGATGAGTACACACACACGTGCATATACACATATTCACACAGAATTTGAATTTTTTGAATTTCAATTCATATAATAGATTAAAAGGACTCATAGAACCCCAGGCCCTGTATAGCTTGTAAGTACGGCTTACAATAATTAAAACTTATAATACAGATACTGTGGGGGGCTAACACAAGGGCAAATAATATGTTGTAAGTTGAATATAACGTCTCGCTAACTACCAAACGAAGTTCCTCGTGTCTTACATTTTAACGCTGTATCCACGGTTGATAATTATTTTTGTATCATCACTTTATTGCATTGAATTTTAACGATTTTCGTATGTACAGTCATTAAACGTACTCAATATTTGTATAACACTCTCATAGCGAGAGATGGGACTTACTTAAATCAATAACAGTGTTTTCCTGTACTCTTGGCATTTTTTACTTATTTTTCAATCTTTGGACGTTTACCGCGCTCTCAGTAGGAAAAACATCACTTGGTGCACATCCAACCTAGGCAAGCACGCACAGATTTCCTCGCTACTGGCTTAGGCGCGCCGCCGATTTAGGCCACGCCTTTCTTTCCTTGCAGCGCCGTGCCAATCCAGCGCCACCGCTGGTACTTTGCGAAAAAACTGAAAAACACTATTTTCCGATACATTTTTGGGATATTTATGAAATAGTTAGGGATACGAAAAGTTTAACAGTATAAGATTAACATTTCATTAAGAAAAAACATCTTGAAAAATGGATATACGTGGTCTAACAACTTTTTTAGAGCTATTTTT